CACTACCAATCCGGCTAGCCCACCGTCAGGCTGCTACCGTCCCATCCGTCACTAGATTTGGTGAAAATGAAACCGTAAGTTGTTTTTGTAGGAGTAGGCTGTCATTTTTAAGTGTTTATTAATTCTTTTGGTCATGTCATATTCGATGTTAAATCATGAAATTGCACTGCAATGAAATGCAAAAATTTCATATTTGTCTGATTTCTTTGCTGGTGCCTAATAAGTGATAGGTAAATTAGGTTTAGGTATACTTGGTTCTTATGCAAATTGCAATCAGTAAATTTGTTGTTTTGTGCATTGATTTGAAATGAGAAATTTGTTGTATTATTATCATAAATATGAAATGAGATTGTATCATATGACTTATGAGATCATGAGAATTTAGTTCATTGATTGTCTTATTTATGTGTTGCACACTTGTACTATTGTTTGAAATTTGGAATTACGAATTTTAATTTAGGGTTTAGGTTGATTGAGTTGTGATTTGGATTTTGGCCCATTTTCGATCGCTGATTGTCGACCTCGCTCTTACTATCGTTGATTGTCGACGTTGATCAATCAATGTCCACTCGGGCTGAACTTCAATACTGAGTCCGTCTCTGATCAAAGTCATTTCCCTACGGGCCGGACACTCAATCAACTAACTCATATACATAAAATATGAGCCATCTAGTCAACACTTTGAATTCTTAAAAGTGGACGAACGCATCAGACAATCAACGTTTATATCCTCAGAAACCCGATGAAGTGGTCTCGAGTTCGAAACTAGTCTTTCTTTATCAGAATCTTTAAATTTTTACTACTTTGATCACTATTGCCCAAGCTAGATTCAAAATTCCAAGGACGTGCCTGAAAAGACGATTTCCCTTCAAAACATCTTGTCACCTTCATATAATTTGGAGATCCACTAGGTTCTTCGAAGAAAGATTGATGTTGAGATGTTACTGCATCACCAAATATGTGAATAGAAGGTTTAAGATTTCTTCATCTTTCCTGTCTATTGGAGAACCTTGGATTCAAAAAAAATTTCATGTCGTTTTATTGCTAGTTCTGTTTTTTATCTTGCTTTGATTCACAAATAGATGAACTGAATTAATATAATCACCTTCACTTCCTCCCTGATGATCAAGAATAAATGAAATGTGTCAATGTTGACTGTTGCATCTTGATTACAAAATTATAACTGTTGACCTCAAAAAATGCATCAACAGAATCCCTAACCTTCTCCCCTTCATGTAAACATCACATGCGCACTAAAACATTCGTTAGGAGAGAAATGCCACCGATCAAGAAAAACGTTCGACGATTGTTTGCTATCCGACGGTCAGATCAACAGTCGGACGAGAGAAAAAGAAAGTGTACAAAAGGGAGAGAGAATTTGGATAGAACTAAAAATCATACCATATTGTGAATAAAATCACATATATATAGGAAAATATAAATAAGCCACGTGGGTAATATGCCGAGCCCAAGACACAAATTATTTAGTTTAATAAGTTCAATCCAATAAATAGTCAATGACACATAATTTATAAGTATAACAATAACTATTGCAACAAGGAGTAGAAAGCATATTATATTAGAACAACTTAATAACTGTCCATCCTACAAATGAAATTTTTTTGGAACATTAACCCATTTTTGTGCTGCTCATGTCGAATGTCGGCCTGGATACTTTATTTCTTATGTGTTTGTGTTAGATCATCGTTCTAAAGAATGCATCTTTGGCAGAAAAGTTAGACCACAAATTATATGATCAAAATTCACATAACTGTGGATCCCACAACTTATAGACCAAATGAGTTGGAAACTTATACGAATCAATGGGCTTATTGATCTCTACCATCCGAAAATCGTTGTTTTACTAAACATCCGCCGCATCGAAACTACACCTTTAATAATTAACCAACTATTGACCCCAAAAAATGAACTCAATAGATGTCGGGCTCACTCTTACCACGTCAAGCACTGATCTAGCGCCTTTTTTTACTGAAAAAGGATCGGTAAGTTGGTTGGTTTGGACACGGGAGGTACTTTCCGGCGAGAGACATAGATGTTCAGGCTCCGACGGTTGGGTTTAGATAGAACTCGCTATATCAACGAGTGCTTGATCCGTTTTCCTTAACTAAATTGATTTTTTTCAATGGAATATCTAGAATGATAGATATGATAATGTATAATATATTGTTGATATGTCAATATATCTTCTTCACTTGTATTTTATCAGACAAAGCCAAGCATGCGAGTATGTTATTTCCTCTATTGATCGACCATCCCTTTTTCAATACAAAGAGATGCTATTTATACTAATCTAGCCGACATAGGGACCGTTGGATCGGATCCACGTGGTGACATCTCCTAAACTGAGGCTTGACATCACTGTCCATTCATTACATTCAATGTTTGACAACAGGTCAGCCGCGCTAATAGTAGGCTGACACTGACACATTAACACTACAGACACTTTATTACAGACGCCCATCAATCAGTTCTAATAGATCTCCGATCCCGTTGGGAGGCAGCGTCGGCATTAGCATGTGGTGAGGTCAACTTTTGGCTTACGGACATCTGGTGTGATTAAGCTTCGGTGCCTTAGTACTTTGGACATGAGGAACCTCTGTCTTTGCATTGAGGGCTTTAGGCAGACCTTCATTACTTGGGCTGGAAGGGACATCAAACGAATATAGCCTCAGTACTCGCATGACCTCGGACAGTTGCATCATTTGTTGTCCTTGACTGTGCTGACTTTCCTTCTGATTTTTTAACTGACTCTATGTCCACTTGGCTACAGGGAGTATGTGACCGTCCTCGTGGAATGCTGACTTAGAGTTTCTGATTTCGGGGGTAACACCAACAATAATTAGCTTTCAAATAACTAGATTTTAAGAAACCCTGCTGACATGCACACGACAACAAGGTAAAGTGAATAATGGTGGGACAATTTCATATTCCTTTGCCAAAAAAAAAAAAAGGAAAAAGAAAAGGATTATCTAGTACGAATTAAAAGCCGCATTTGATTGGAAGGGACAATAAATAAAATAGAAAAAAAAAATCACATTAAATTAAAAGGAATGGATATGAATTAGTCTAACATCAAAACGTACATTTCGTAATATTATATAATTCTATAGTGCACGATGTCTTAGTTAGTGGTCCAATGCACAATTGCATATAGATTGTTGCCTTTATTCTGCTCGATTTTTATGGGTTGTACGTTATTGAGGATTCAGATATATTTAAGATATAAGATATGTATACTTCGATTGTATCTTGACGAATGGATTCGATATGGTAATATAGTCGATGTACTAATAGAAAATTTAACGGTTGTAACAATTCATGCTACTTTAGACGAAATTGTTGAAAAAATTGGGCTAGTGGGCTGCTTCTGGTGTAATTTTGAATGGGACCGGTTCGTTCATTTTGGAAGAACAAAGTTGATTTGTGTTCTTTTCCGTGAGAATTCACAATTGATGTTCGGATAAATGAGAAATTGAAGCTCGAAGTTGATACGTTTGAAGGTGATTTTGTGTTGAAGGGAAACTATGAGTAAATTGTCCTACATAGGAAAATGATAAAAGCAATAACCATTATATATATATGATTATACTTAGCCCCTGTTTGTTTCCAATTGTTTTAACATAGAAATCAATTTTTTTACCATTTCTTTTCAGAACATTGGAGCCCACTGTGAGAGAAAGAGGTCAACATTTGTGGCTACGTTATTGTCGCAAAGATAGGAATTAAACAAACAGGGCTTAATCATGTGTAGCATAGATACTCATACTCTCTCCACATACATGTGCAGGGGGTGCAAATACCGGACTACATTATACATTAAACCTTCAACTTCTTTGCATACATGAATTTCGGACTTAATGGATCAAAATTGATCCCTTAGGAGAGTCCACGTTTCACCTCTATTTCCTATTTGTATTTTTATTTTTTTTTCTTCCAAATGACTTTTCAACTCCTAAAACTTCCATTGTTATTACCGGTTATTGGCCTATTAGGAGAGTCCACGTTTCACCTTTATTTCTTTTTTTTTCCTTCCTAGTGGCTCTCCATACCCTACTTATAGTTTCTTTCTGTCCAAAGTCTTGGTGGTCCTATTCTAATAGAATTTCAGTTCGCCGAAATAAAAACGAAGTGCGTAGTTTTTACTGATTTTTCATTGTATTCTGGGAGACAGAATCTCGGACGAAACTTTAAGTACTTACGACGATGGGACAAATCTATTTTAAGGACAATGTGTAATACATAAGACTCGATTTGCAAATATCTTTTCCTTCTCAGCGATTGTTACATTCTTTTTGAAGGAATATAAATACACACACCTAAGTGCATATGCAAGGGGTTCTCTTTTTCTTGCTATGTTTCTGCAACCCATTTATTAGGGTGGATGTTAGGGGAAAATGTATAAGAAATCGAACTAAGATAGCAAATGAGATTTAAAGTTTTTCGTGTAACGAAGCCATCGTTGAAATCTTAATCTCTCTGTCTTGTCCATAAATTTCGTCACGCGTCGCTTTCAAATTTCATTTAGAGCCCAGAGGGTTGGATACTCGCAGACCTACCCGTGTATTGAATCAAACCAATATAAAACTGCATGCCCCCCGGGGCACATCCAAGTTGGCAAAGGATGGGCATTGCTGGGCTTGCAACCTCAGGGTGGGGAGTTCGATTCCTGGATGGAGCAGCTGAGTGTTGTAATACTCAATTTGGGTGGAGCAGCTTGGTGATGTAATATCCATGGAGGAAGGCTCCCTTGGGGCCAGGAGTATAAAGGGTGCACAGACCCTGGTCAATTTGGGCATATCCCGCGATTAACCTCCACCNAAAAAAAAAAAAAAAAAAAAAAAAAACTGCATCTCCATTAAATTCTCTAAGGAAACTTCGTGGAAGCTCACTCATGGCTTCTGTTATCTTCAGTTCTTCACCCATATATATCTCATTTCTTCCCCTCCATTTCACCCTCAAACGCTTATCTCATTTCGACCATGAAACTCATCAAAAATATTCCCAAAAAGCTCTTCAGGAGAAAGAAATCTCGCTCCATTCCTGGATCCGAATTCGACCCAGCTTTCTTCAGTTCCACGGATGATTCTCAAACCAGGTTCAGAAATCCCACAAGCGGATCAGCCACGCCCACCAGCGTTTTACCTGCCGATGAATTGTCGGACTTTGAGTTAAAACAAGCGTTTAAAATGATAGACAGGGACGGTGACGGAAAGATAACGGAGGAGGAGCTGGAGGCGTTATTGATCCGGGTTGGAGCCGAGCCTCCGAGTCAGGAGGAGCTTAGACTGATGTTGAGCGATGTGGATGTAGATGGTGATGGGTGTATTAGTTTGGAAGAGTTTTACGCGATCGGCTCGGCTTTTGGGCCTCCGGCTTGCGACGACGAGCTGAAGGAAACGTTCGACTACTTTGACTCCAATCGTGACGGAAAGATAACAGCGGAGGAGCTTTATAACGTCTTTAGAACAATTGGTGACGGAAGGTGCACGTTAGATGACTGCCGGCGCATGATAAAAGGTGTTGATAAAAATAGAGATGGTTTCGTCTGCTTCGAGGACTTCACTCGTATGATGGAGCTTCAACTATAATTTTTTTTTTAAAATCTAGTTTATGGTGAATCAATTTAGGATTGGTCCATCTCATTTTAGTAAATGGAATTTATCTTTTTGTTTTTATTTTGTGATAATAATCAAATTTCGCTCTTGTAGCAAACTCTATCTGTTCGAGAAACTAATAAATTTTAGAGTGTGTTTGATTAATTTTATTTTTCATGAAAATGTCAATTTTTCATCAAAATTTCTACTTTTGAGAGTTTGATTGACATTTTTTCTATGGAAAATGTTTTTTAAAAGTTGATCATGTGACCTTATTTTTCTCAAAATCAACGAAAATATTTTCTTTGGGAAATGATTGATTTTTATTTTTCTCATTTAACCCTACCATCTACCACGTACTCACCAATAAAAGATGAACATGTATAATATTTTTTAGATTAAAAATTAAATCAATCAAATAAATTTAATTAATATTTTCCTTACAAATAAATTTTAGACAATTCAATTACATATAACTTATTTTTTTCTATGCAAATTTCGAGTTTACAATCAAACACATCATTAGTTCCAAATGAAAATGATATTTGTGTTGACAATCTCTACAATAACTTTCTAATCAACATTTTGCATAAAGAAAAGTTAGCCCACTTGTAGAATCGGAACCCAATCTCTCAAGATTTCGATTCCGTTAAAAAAAAATACGAATCAAAATCAAAATTGAGGATTGAGAATAGCATATTGATCGGGTTCCAGATGGTTCTTGGTCATTGAACTGAAAACAATTGGTAGTCGACTTTGGAATCAAAATTTTTCCATTTTTACAATTTAATTATCTTGAGTGAATGACCCAATCCAACAATTAGCAAGTTCGTAAAGTCAAGAAAAAAAATGTTAAAATATTTGTAGTGAATTAAGAAAGTGTTGAAATATATATTTGGTGACATTTTATTTATTTTAGATGTTGAGAAAATAATTTATATTGTTTGTTCATATTCTTATTTTAATGTTATAAGTAGAATCGAACCTGAAGTGATCCTGAATGATTGGTTATACTCGGATCGATTTATTAGGCAATCAAACCTACTCACTTATTTACTTGTGTAGACTTTCTAGATTATTCTCATTCATTATTTCGAGATCTACATCCACTTGGGTAGTCACACTTTGCCCTATTGAGCAGGACAATTGATGTTGTCCATTTCGTCATGTTCCATGCATCTATGCATTTTTAGTCAATAGATGTCAATTGAAGCATTATAGATTGGTGAACTGACAAAACGCATGATTGAGGAAATTGGACAATATTTGAAAAAAATAATAATAATAAATAAATAAAGTTGTCCCAAAAAAAATGTGCATTTGTCGTGGGATTGATCAAAATCCATTATACTTTTAAGATATTTATAAATAGCCAATCCCAATTTGACACTTTTGTTTAAAATATAAATTAATCAATATATTGTTTCTTAATCAACTTGTTTGATTGATTGTTATTTGATCAATTTGGATCACAAATTACAATCTTTTTTCAATCATTCAAGATCGAAATTAACAAGTGGCAACCAAAAAACCTCTACTCGTCTAACCAATCAATAAAAATTGGTCGAGTTTGAAGCAAAAAAAATCACAAGCCCACCCACATGTGTGGAGAGTGTCACACTAGATGTATACAAAAGTGTACAACAAGAATTATTCAAACAAACAGGGCTATGCTAGGGTGGCGCAATAGGGGACCGCCATTTGTCCATTTTTGACACCAATTAGGTAAAATATTAAGTAAAAATAGAATTTTCCAAACACTAAAGGTGGTTGAAAATTAAAACATGATAAAAACCAACTATTTCACCTCAAATATTTTTTTCTTGGAACGAATGCTTAAAAAACCAAGTCTCATCCTTGTTCAGAATCAATTATACATTCGAGAATATATTACGCCCTTGTATGATCTCCATCATATTCAAAATACATTTTTGTCTCCCTTCTTCTCAACGACACATTTTTTAATAAAATAAAATTACACGTATTCCCAAAAATTTTCATTGTTTTTTAAACACACATTCTCCATCAATCTACTATTCCAAAATGCATTTTTAGCAAAAAAATGACTTAGACAAGTGCTAAATCTTTGAAAAAAATTGCACTACTAGTCGTCAACATATTCCCCGAGTTGCAAGTTAATCCCCAATCTTTGACGGCCATGCTGATGCTAATGAAAAGAAATTATTCCACTTTTAGAGTTCAATCTGGCAGTAACATGCTCAGCAATTGCCATGCTTGAAGTTAGACCAGGCGATTCAATCCCAAACAGGTTTACGAGGCCAGGTACATCATGACTGTCCTCTCCCTACAAAATAAAAAGGCTTCAGTTTTGAGGTCGAATTTGCAAGAGTCAGAGAGCATATGAACATAAGTAGACAGACAAACATATGAAGATTTTTCTGCAAAACTAAAAGTATTATTTGTATCTCTTACTTCAGTAGAAGTAGAAGAGGGAGACTAGTTTATAATACCAGTGAGCTCTCGCTCAATTGGGTGAGTAAACCATTAGAATTCCCGAACTCACCTGTATTATGAAATCTTTAGGCACCTGCTTGGGACCTGAAACTTTGGGTCGAATTCCAGCATAACCCGGCTCCAGGGATCCATCCTTTAAACCGGGGTAGTATTTTCTTATCTCCGGATAGAATAGTTTTGCACGTTCACCAGGCACAGAATAGTCGAACCTTTAACAAGATGAGTGCAAAACATTAGTCACTTGCTTTTTTAACAACAAACCTTTTCTGCCGCAGAAACGAAATAACTGTTGCTCGACATTTTAGCACAATTACAAAAATAAGCTCATACAGTTCTCAGTTGTAAATAATCCAATTTCAAGTTATAATGGTTGATCTCGGATAAGGGTTTTCTCAAATGAGTTTGCATATGAAAAAGATTCAGTCAGACGAACATCCACAAGCAAGTACAAGTTCATAATCATTTATGTCACATATAGACTTGAGTAGAAATTCAAGATTTGAGGACACTCCATGCTAGTAATTTGTGCAAAGCACGGCTAAGCTTAAAATTTTTACTCATAACTAAATAATTTCTAAAATTTATGATTTTATTTAGGTCCAATTGAAAATAAGTACGTTAAGTATTTGGAAGTAACTTGTGTTCTTTCCGATCTCTATGCATTTAATCGCTCCATCGGAAATTCCCTCTACCCCTATCGTACTCCAGCTTGGTAGTTTCCACCACTTGTTTAGGGTTGAGCCTTAGGACTTGACGGCAGGATTAAAAATTCACCTACCCTCAATATAGGTAAAAATTTCTCATAAGAAAAAGTAAACTATCCAATCATATGCTTGGAAGCAAAAATTTACATAAAAGTAAGTTTCACTTTTAAGCTTAGGCAAGCATGTCCTAAGAAAGAAAACGAAGAGAGAGAGAATAAATTTAGCCATATAACTTATTTCTAAGTAGAATCCATAAAATGGTCCTTAGTGAGATTTTACATTTGAAGAAGCTAATTGCATTCGCATTTATCTGCACCGAATTTATATTTCTGCATTCTCTTTTCTGGGCCTCCATCTGCATTACTTGGGGGATCCAAATTACTCTACATTATTAATTTGCACAGAGAAACATAGCCATTGAAGAAATAAGAAACACGAAATTCTGTCTTTATAACTTCTTCCGAACAAACAGAACACTCTAATAATGGTCTTTAGAGAAAGCTTACATGTTGAGGAAGCTTGAAAAATCATCTATGCCATCTATCCATTCAACGTCGGGACCAAATTTGACTTGGCCGTTTAAGTCCAGTGTGACGTGCACTCCAAGGCCGCCATCCTCAGGAATAGGATAAATTAAATGCTGGAAAGGAGTTTTACTATTTGATAAAACGAAATAGCAACCGCGGGCAAAGTAGGGTGTAGGAATAACTTTAACATCTAGGCCGTTGAACCGTTTAGAAAGAGCTACGGCACCCAATCCTGCAGAATTTACAAGTAGTCTTGGAATAAGAATTACATCCGGCTGCAGAAGAGATCCTCCATCATGGTTTTTAATAGCTTTGCTTTCAGAAACGTGAAGCTGGATACCATCTTTATGGCAGTGACCACCAATAACCGTAGTATTGTAAGAGAAAGTCGTACCGTGACTTTCAGCCTCCCCTTAAACCCATATTGGGGTGATATCCCTATCAATATACATATATAACTCTAAAAATGGTAAATCGGAAAAATAATCCCCTCACATTCTATTTGAAAGTGCCATAGAATGATGAAAAACCGTACCATCATTGATAGCATTAATGAATGTGTGTCAACTATTCCAGAAGCAGGTGATAGTAATGCTTTCACACATTGCAATTCTGGTTCCATTCTCATGGCTTCACGACCCTCCATTAGCTTTAGACCTTCCACCCCATTTTCTATTCCTTGAGTCATCAACGTATTCAATTTAGGGACTTCTGAAGATCCAGTAGCAACTATGAGCTTGCCAATCTGTTTATGAGGAATATAATGTTGTTTGCAATACTTGTAAAGTAATTGTCTTCCTCTAACACACAAAAGTGCCTACAATAGAAAATTTATAATCCAAGTTAATGACATAATTTATTTTTGTTATGTAAAGCAGCATTTCAATTGATATTGTGCAACCGTAAACGTTTTCCATGTACTGATGTGTAGTCTATTACTATGCCTCGTACCACACTGACCTAATTTCACCTTACTGTTGTCCAAATCTACAGCTTGATAGGTTGCAAATTATTTAAACCTTATTTCTTCTGGTCAAAGACATCTGAAAGAAGCTCTTTTGTTCTAAGACAACTGGAGGATGTAAGTATTGATTATGATCAGCAACTTAAAAGCCTTTTTCGTAAGAAAAACAATTTGTATAAAGTTTCCCGTGACCAAATTTCAGCTAGAATAAGAGTAGGTCGTTCAAGTCTTTCAATGTCTGACCATGTTGAAGTGCCTGCTTTGTGATCAGGTAACATAATTTATTTACGTGTTCAAAACCATTTTCATGAAAATGAGAAATCTAGTCATAGTTACCATTTTATCATGAGAAATCTTGTGGCAAAACTGAAAATTTGTAATTAATTATTTTCTCTTCCGATGAGGTGTCGACACATGAAAAAATAACCATTAGATCAAGAGGTAAACACATCCTTTCAACAAACACATTCTTTCAGCCGATTAAGAACATATACGTTTTTTTCAGACAATTACTTTCAACAACTATAGATAGATAGACCCTGCTAACTTTCATGGTTTGGAAATTTCTTGGTGAAAAAGAATACATAATTAGCAAATGAGCAAATGAACTAAGATGATAAGACAAATAATGAGCAGAACGCCATTTTCTTGAAATTTAACCCAAAGAATGCTTGAGCCTATATAAATCTCTTTCTGCCACTGTTCGGTTTTGTTAAATTGATTTTTCTAAATCTACTGGATTCACAAATCTTATTGGGAAAAGAATTTTTTTAACGCAAACTCATGTTTGCTAAGCTTATAAACTCTACTTATAAGTAAATGATTAAATTCTAATTATTATTAGAAAAAGTTAGAATAAGTTATAAGTCTCAAGCTTACTCTTAAGCTTAGTCAAATCGCTCCTAAGTGCAGCTCGATCAAGATTAACATTTTATCATTTTACACAATTAACAACAGAATCCCCAAAATTTCTTCACTTCAAATTCAATCCCAGAATAATCAAAAACCATGAGTACAATATAAAAAACAGTTTCAAAGAAAGAAAAAACAATAACCTTGAGAGAATTGGGAGGGTAATAGATGCCAGCATGAATGACTTCACTGTTGCGAGAACTGGTGCCTGTCCCAAAAGTCGATGCAGATTCTAACACAATAACTTCTCTACCATGGTTCATTGCAAGCTCTCTGGCTATAGCTATGCCCACCACGCCTGCACCTATCACCACCGCGTCCACTTTCTCCTTTGCCACTGATTTGAACTGTTCTTCGGTGAAATACGACGAAGATTTGATAGTATTTTGGGATGTTGCCAACAGGGTTTTGAATTTCTTCATCTTTTTCTAGGGAGATTGGGATTGGATTTTTCCGGCACTATTCCAAGAATTAGAGAGCAGTATTTGAGTAATATTATAGCAAGTAGACCCTCTCTGTAATTTTTGGCATTTTCAATCCCATTCTTCTTCACTCTTCGAGCACGTGGTACTCTCAATTATTTATTTATTTGTATAGTGTTTGGGACGCATTCTTTTAAAAGAATATATTATTTGATTATCCCATTATTTGTCACAACCCGAGCATTAATCCCGAGGGTATGTTCCCATCGATTACGAGTTTCCCTCATCGGGCAATGTACCTCGGCCATGGTGGTCCTCGAGCACATGATTTGACACCCCAAAATCATAGACCTCGTCGGGATGTCTCCTCGGGAATTATGTTTGCCCGTTCGCTTGGAACATCCTCGAGATCGTGCCTTGGCCTCGCAC